AAGTAGTAGTTAAATGGCTTTAAGGGCGTATGCAGGGCGTATGTTCCGGAGAGAGGGTCCCGTAGATACGGGTATTATATAAGTGGAAAAGATGGTTTCCAAGAAGGTAGTCTTAGAGCCGAAAGAAGTTGGTTTTAAAGAATAGTAGAAGTTAAATGGATGGATAGTTAAATGGCTGACCGCTTATTAATTAGTAAGAGCTAGATATCTTCTCTATAGGCTACCGAATACTTTCGTAAAGTTAATAAGTAGTTCCCCTCTTTAATATAGAATAGACTAGATTTGTTTTAGGCTACCGAATGCTTTTAGGACTAATCTAAAATCTTCTCTGATCTGTATATATAAACTGATTAGTATTAGTTTACCAGGAATATATAGTACTATTACATAAGCGTAGAAGTGCTATTTGTATAAGGTTAGTAAAGTTATTATTATTTTGAAGTAAGGATTATAGTATTATAGTATTAATATATGATCCCTAAATCTGCTAAGCCTAAAGAGGTCTAGTTTACTAGTCGAGTTACTAATGGGACGCGAGGTTATATAACTATATCCCGTATCCCATGTCCCATTACCTATATCCTATTGCCTATATCCCATTGCCCATATCCCGTATCCCGTGTCCCGTGACTACGCACGTGACTCCCAAAGGAATAGCTATACTAATACTTATTATACCTATTTATAGACTAATATTAACCTGGCTCCTTAATAGTAAACCTCTTATATTTCTGATTCTTATACTTATCTCATATCTTTATTTCTATTTTATTTAATATCCTAAATATCTGTTATATTTTTTTACGGGATATAAATTTACTAATATTTTTTCGGATCTAGTAGTATATTTTTTTATAGCTATACCGAATTAATTAATTATTCTTTAGTTTCTTAAAAATGAATTCTTTAGCTTCCTTAAGGGTATTAATATACTTGGTATTAAATCGATTTTATCTTAGCTAAAGCTTATAATAGTATTGAATTATTTTCAAAATATATATATTAAGCCTAGGGTAATTAAGTTTATAATTAAAGATCTAAAGTATATATTTGAGTAAATAGTTCTAATACTAGAGGTAATATATTATTTTAACTAGCTTCTTATTATAGAAATATATTTTATATTTTATTTATTATTAATTCGGAAAGAGTTTAGTATTCTATTATTATAATTAAGTAATATAGCTAGTCTTACTAGTATTAAACCTTTCTAGTTATAAGGTATATCTAATATCCTAAAGAGTTTTTTTTTAAATATAATAAAGCTCTTTAATTTGAGTTTAATATTATTTCTATAATTAAGAATTAATTTTATTAATTTCTATAATATAATATAGTTTATAAGTTATAGTAATAGTAATTAGAAATAAAAAGTAAAGAGAAAAAGAAATATATAGTCTTTAAATATTAGTCTATACTAGTATAAAAACCTTATTTTTATATTTATATAAAATATAATATTATAATTATTAAAAATAGTTTTATTTTTATATTATATTATCTAGATATACTATATCTAGATTATAAAATAATACTAATATTTCGTTTCTTATATATAAAGAAAGCTTATTTTTAGTATTATATAACTATATAATTCCCTGGATTCAAGAAACTAATATAAAATTTAGAGAAGGTAATTTATTATTTATATAATTCCAAAATTATTAGGCTTTCTAATCTAATCCTATATTCTTTAGGTTTAACTAGGAACTCTCTATTTATATCCTAGTATTATACTAGTAATAGACCTATAAATATAGTTTACCTAACTTATTTATTTGGCCCGGGAATTATATCTTATAATTCTTTTTTATAAAAGTAGTATTAGTATAATAGATATTATTACTTATAAAATTAATCTTATCTTCTAATTAGTTTATTAATCTTATTATTACCTTTATTTACGAATTTATTATTATTCTATAAAAAAAAGAGCTTGAAAAGATTAATTCGATTTCCTAGTTTATTTATAAATCTATTCTTTTATATTTTTTGGGCCTTTATAGTATAAAGATAACTCCGAATTTATAATTACTTCTCGGAAAAAGGATATTATAAAAAGGCCTTCTTTTTCTTCTAACTAACTCTCCTTCTCTTAACTATAATACTATATCTAACCTCCTTTTTGTTTTTCTTCTTCTTCCTTCAAGTATTATTCAAGCCTTTCTTCCTATTATAAGGTAAATATAATCCTTTATTATACTACTAAAGAAGTTCTTAAAAAAAAAGAAAAAATATAATATATATAATATTAGTAATATTAATAACCTATACCTGTCTAGTAAAGATAAATAATATAATATAGCTCGAATATAAAGGCTTAAAAACTTAAGGTATTATAGAGGAATAGTAAGTTATATTCTCCCTATATAAAAAGCTAGAATATAGTATTAATTAAATATTAGAATAATAATTTATTAAATCTACTAAATCTCCTTCCTTTCTTAAATACCTTATAGCCACCTCTTACTACTACTAATAAATAGTATTATCTCGAGCTTTTCGATATCCCTAATAAGATAATATAAGTTATAAAAAATATTTATAAAATACTAGAAATTCAAGATATAAAGTTTTGTTTTGGAAAGAAGCTAGTTAACTTAGATAATCTAAAGATTATAGTAAACCTGGAGGTAATATATAATTAAACTCGAGGCTATTTAGTACCTATATCTTATATTAATTATATGAAAAAGAACCCTAAAGGCCTATAGTAGAAGTATATATAAGTTTAGGGTAAATTTAACCGAGCCTATTATAATTATAGATATAATAATAATAGTAAAGTATATACCTTATATTACCTTAATATAGTACTAAAAGATCTAGCTCTTCCTAAATTAGCCTTTATAAAACCTCAACTTTTAAAATTATAAATACCCTCGAAATAGAGTAATAAAGTAAAGAGACTAATAAAGGGAAAGGGAGAGAGAGAGGAAGAGGGTAAGAATAAGGATAAAAAGAATAATAGAGATAGAAATATTTCGAATATTATAGGAGATAATAGTAAGGATAATAATAATAAGGAAGGTATATCTTGTAATTTATAGGATTTATTATATGGACTATACAAGTTAAAGGGGGGTTAATAGTAGTTGAGAAGGGGGGGTAGAGGCAGGAGCGGGAGTAGAGGGGATACTAGAGATATTATAGTAAAGACAAATATAAATATTAGTATATTTAGTAACTGCGAATAGCTTTATTTTGGCTATCTCTATATAAGTTATATATACGAGTATAATAGTGGTTGCACCCGTAGAATGCGGTATTTTGGTTACGGGCAATTTTTGGTAGGGTGTATACGTATCATAAATCAGATATCGAAGGTCGAAAACCAGATTCGAAAATCGCTTGGTCTTCTGATCCTTACGGCTTTCCGTAGACGTCCCAGACCCGGGGATGTCTTGCGTGGCGTTGTCTCCGCCCATCGTGGAAGACTTTTCGTGTGCTATGATCTTTGGTGATGGGAAAATTGAATCAAGGTAGTTTATTTCATAACTCATATATCAGGGAGCAATAATGCTGCCTCCAGCATAGAAATAAAGCCTAACAGGAAAAAGGGTGCGAAATCGGGGACGTCTGTACGTTTATGCAAGAGAACTTTTTACTACGATGCTGAAGTCCAGGAACCCGCCACCGCATTTGTGAGTACAGAATATGGAATAAGGAGAAAAGAGGGTGGACACATCGGAATGGACGCCTGTACGTGCAGGTAACTAAAGTCCCTGGCAAAAGCACGCCACGCCCAAAAACATTATTTATATAAAAATTGTTTAATTAATTAAAAATTACCTACTTTATAATTAGTCTAATTTCTAAATACATAACTTATTAAGTATATAAGATAAAATTTGAATATAATAAAATTTAAATATATAATATTTCTTAATATAATTATTTAATTATTATTTGAAATAAATTAAAGAAAATTAATATTATTCTTATATTATATATTATTATAAAATAAAAGAATTACAAATTTGTTATTTTAGAATAGCAAGTTTAAGATACAAATTAAAATTTAATAGTTTATTAGCTTTAAAAGCCTAATTACTAATAATTCTAAAATATAAAAGAAGGTTTTATTTATTCCAAAAAGAAAACTAAATTTATAAAATAATAAATCGAATATATAAATTTATATAAAATATTTAAAATGTCAGTTATTAAAGGCTTATATAAATAAATGAATATATTATTAATTTCTTATTAAATTCATATAAATTATATTAAAACATAAAAGTATTTATTCTTTTATTTAATTAAAGAACTATTTTATTTTTAATAAAATAATAATAAAATAATAATAAAATAATAATAAGGTAATTATAATTAAATAAATTATATAAAATTATAATAAAGATATTATTTTAGAAAAGATTAATTAGATACTATTATACTAATTATTAATATTTTATTTTATATTAAAGTGAAATATACTAAAATATAAATGAACTTCTCATATAAAATATTAGAAATTTAAACTTAAAACTTTTATTTAAAAATATTAAATTTAGTTAAATTTATTTAAATTTTAAGCTAATATAATAAATAAAATTTAAAATTTATACTTTTATATACTTATTACCTTCAATTACATAAAATTGTTCTTTTATTATATCTATAAAATCTATAAATAAAATATTATATAAAACGGATTTAGAGTTACTTAGTTATTAGAAAACAAAAAAATCGCCGAATCAAGTTTTTGTGCGGGGCTCACTTTTCCCAGGGGTCTCGGTTATATTTCGGCGACTATAGTGAAAGTGCACACCCTGTCTATTAAGCTTTTAGGTGTAAAAGCCTCTAGGGTAATAGCACAGCGACATATGATCGCCTTTACAAGGGACATGCCGATGCATCCACCCTCTTTAATTGCATTTTGATACTCCGTAAACACCGAAGAGGAATAGTAATGACATGGGAGTAAAAGTGATTTTAAATATATGGAGTGGCGATTTAGAAGAGATTTTCTCGCATCTTCCATTGCAACTTATTCCACGCCTTTGAAGCTTCTCTTGCCGTGATCTAAGTTCTTTGCGTGTACAGTATGTTCCATAACCGCAGCAGCGGCCGATATAAGGTTTCTATCCCTGGACGCACGGCGCTCCGCTCTATTCTTCTCGTCTGCGTGGCGACAGCTCCAGCAGTCAGCAGTTTAAAAACTCCAGCACTCCAGTTTACCGGCGCAACCGTTACGCTCGCAGATACCCCTTACTGGGTGGCCCCAGACCCCGTCGGAAATCTCGATCTCGGCATCATCACCAAGGTGTTTCAGAGCCAATCTGTTACCGCCGGCTCAGGTTACCTGCCCATAAGCGTGGTTCAACTGCAAGCTGGCAACGATTCTACATCGACGCTGGAGTCAATTTTCTCCGCCTACCAGGCTTCTGACGATGTGTGGAGCACCGATTTCTCTTACGGTGAGTAACTCCTAGTCCACTCCTCTCTCCCATGGCACAATTCAGCCCCTGATGTCTCGCAACGTACGCTAGTGGTTTATGTGCAGGAATTTGCAGACGTCAACCCCAAAAAGGATCCGGCCCTGTCAGACCTGTCTTCTGAGGAGCGGGGGGATCGCGTGATTCTTCACGACATCAGAGCCGAGAAAAAGGAAATCATTCCGAACGGACCCTACTTTGTTTCCTTTGAAGGAACAATCCATCAGGCCTTCCGGCTCTACTCGGACTCGCAAGAGGCCTTTACGGAATCCGTCTATACCGGGCCGACTGGCGCTCACATAGTTCTCACCGCCAATATCCCCGGTCAGAGTCTGGCCATCGCAGTTCCCTCCAGGCTCTACTACGAGTGGTCCTCTGAAAAGCCATTGGCGGGTGTGCGCATTGGCGTCAAGGATATTTATGATCTCTCCGGCATCAAGACGGGATTGGGAAATCGGGCTTGGTATGGCTTGTACCCCCCTGCGAACGAAACGGCCACGGCAATCCAGAGACTGATTGATGCTGGTGCCGTTGTGGTGGGTAAACAGAAGACGGCACAGTTTGCGAATGGCGAGTACTCGACAGCGGATTGGGTCGACTACCACTCCCCATTCAACCCTCGAGGTGATGGTTACCAGGATCCAAATTTTTCCTCTGCTGGAGCCGGTGCGTCCATGGCTTCATATTATTGGCTAGATGTTGCAATTGGGTCGGACACTGGTGGGAGCACTCGTGGGCCGGCTCGTGTTCAAGGCTTGTATGGCATGAGACCATCTCATGGCGCAGTACCTCTGGACTATGTCATGCCACTAGCTCCTGAATTGGACACAGCCGGCATCATAGCCCGAAATCCCTGGCTCCTCCGTGATGTGGCCGCAGTCCTGTACCAGTATTCTCAGGATGCGAGCAAGTCCCATAACTATCCCCAAAGTCTCCTCATCGACAGCATCCCGGAAGGGTTGGACGAAGAGACCACCACCGCTCTAGAAGGATTTCTCGGTGGGCTTAAGGCTAGCCTTAGGATCGCTGATGGGATCTCCCTTAATTTGACTAGGGAATGGGAGACCACTCGACCTGCTAGCGCCCCCATTAGCCTAGCAGGAATGCTGAATACAACATACCCCACCCTGATCGGCAAGAGGCAAAGCAAACTCGTGCGCGATCCTTTCTACGCCCACTACGCTCGTCTGCACAATGGCAGACTACCCTTTGTCAATCCGGTTCCCTTGGTACGATGGGGTTATGGGGATAGCCAGTCGGACGTGGCTTCCTCCGAGGCTTTGATGAACAAGACGATCTTTAAGGACTGGTTTGCGAGCCACATACTGAAGCCAGACAACAAAACATGCTCCTCATCAATCCTCGCCTACATCGTCCCCCCCGTGGCCCAATACCGGAATGCCTACAGGACCTCACCAAAGCCACCATTTACTTTCTCTAGCCAGTATTACAGCGTCTTCGCAGAAACCTCCGACATTGTTGTGCCCAGTGAGTCCTCCACGCTTCGTCGCTTCCCCTTTGAGATATTTAGCCAACCTCGGCCTACTAACGACTTCGCGATTTTAGTTGGGCAAACAACATATAATTCGACTGTGACGAATCACTCTGAAGAACTGCCCGTTACAGTCAACTTGATGATTGCAAGAGGCTGCGATTGGCTGCTCTTGAACTTGATTTCTGACCTAGCCAAGACTGGGGTTTTGAAGATTTCCGCAGTAGGTTCTAGTTCGGTGGATGGTGGGGAGATCTTGTTGAGGAGGTACTTATATGATTCGTACTAGCGAATAGAATGTGGTGCTTGATGCAGCCTCGCCGATGTTAACTTATTACGCACGTCTATAGAAAGGACGAACGGTGGTTTTAATAATCCGCAACAAGGATTATACTAATATTCAAATGCCAAACGGAGGATCAACCTTTTCCGTGCAAAGCCTAACTGCCCAGGCCACGTTTTACTCCCCCCTCTTTTTTGCAAGTGTTTCTTTAAACTTAAAAATAAAGAAGCAAAAAGTTGCAGACAAAATAGAGCAACTACTCCGCAGTACTTTTAATTTTGTCCCTCCCAGTACAATGCAACCTACGATAGGATCGGGACAGTCGCTCACACCAATGAACACCGCACCGAGAACAAGAGAGAGAACTTGCGACTTCGGTTAAGTCGACTCTGTAAGTCGACTCCTGTTAACCCAATCGGGCAGCGCAACATTCACTCACAACGCTCACGCCCGACGTAATACCTGGAAAAGAGAGGTTGGTTAGCCAACGCAGCTGTAACCCAGTAACATATCAAATAAAACGTCGGCCTGGTGTCTTTCATAAGATATTGAGAGATAGTTCAAGATCTATTATATTAGTCTCGTCGTGGCTTTGCTCTCTTGTAATTGTGGCAGTTATTAATATATTAGTTAACTGTCTTATTTATTCGAGGCTAGTAATAATATCTCTATAAGTAATATAATAATATCTCTGCAAGTAATATAATAATATCTCTGTAAGTAATATAATAATATCTCTGTAAGTAATATAATAATTTTACTATATTGAAATATTTAATTACTAGCTAGCCTTAAACTAAATCGAGTAGCTTGTTTGGCAATTACTCTTCTTGTCTTTTAATACCAAAACCCATAATTTTAAAGCTCATTTTATAAATATATTTAGTAAATAAGCTAGTATATATAAACTAGCTATTAATTATTAGTTTAACTAAGCTTTATTAAAAAAGCCTAATTAATTAATAAAATCATTTTTAATATTTTCAAATATAAATTAAATAAATAATATTAAGAATTTAAGAAATAAAGAATTTTAGCTAATAATCTTATATATTATAAGTTTTACTTTTATAGTAGTAATATTAAAATTTAATAATATAAATTAAGAGTTAAAAAAAGCAAATTAATTAAAAGAAATTAATATAGCCTTTTATTTATAATTAAAATAATTAGCTTTTAAATAATAAAACTAAGTTATAATATAAGCTTTATAACTTAAAAGCGTATTTACAACTACTTTATAATTCTTAATTTAATAATTATAATAAATTTTTATTTTTATTTTTATTTTATATAAAGCTTATATAATAACTTAAATAATAATAGTAATTATAATTTTAATATATTAGTATTTAAATATAAAAACAAATAGTATTCTTTTTAATTATATAAGATTTAATAAATGACTTAAAATGTCTTTAAAATTTATTATATTTTTTATAAATATAAGAAGAATTTTATTATTCTTTAAATAATAAAAGTAATAAAATTTATATTTTAAATATATTTGAAACTAATTTTCTTATTATATATATATTTATAACTGCTTTTTATTATAAAATCCTTATATTTATTATTATTAATTTATAAATATAAAGCTAATGGCTTAATATTATAAAAAAATAAAAAACAAATTAATTTGTTAGGATTTTAATATACGAGTTTTAAAATAATTAAGTAAAGAAATAAAATATCATAAATATATATTTAGAAATTATAATAAAAAAAGAAAAGAAAAACAATTATTTTAAGTAATTATTATAAAGGATTTTATTTTATAAGCTTTTCATTAAATTAGAAATATATATATATATATATATATATATTAAGCTAATAAAGGTATTTCTTTTAAGAAAGAATAAGAAAAAAAGCCTTTTAATATAAGTAAAGTAGTATTTAATATTTATTTTAAGTATAAATTAAAAGAATTACTAGAAAGACGTTCGAAAAACTCAGCTATATATGGACTATTATATTAAGTAATTGTATTTTTTTAATTGCGTGAATAAAATCCATCCCTAGTGCCTTGCGTGCAAGGGCGTCTAAATGCAAAAAAAAGGCCATGCTTTTAATTATGAGATATTGGCATGGTGTCAATTAAGGATCCTTCCAGCTGTTTTCAAATATCCTGCAAGTACACCTCTAACAGCGTCCAAACCATCTCTTTCATCCATTAAAATCCTTCTCTGAGAGTATTGTTCGAAGTGGTCCGAGAAAACCAGCAGTCATTTTCCAATCCTAGCACGCGCAACATCCACTGACCGCCAGGGATGAAATTCCACCGAAGGAATATTTGCCGAATCTAATTGCAGTCTATTCAGCACTGTTTCCTATCACCCTAATAAGCGGCTATCATGTAAGGCCTCTCACATCTCTCGCGTAGGCGTGAGTGCTACCGTCTCCACATCTAATATCAGCCCCTTTCCCATCCTCATCCCGCCGCCCTCTCGGTGCTCTGCAGCCACGCTATCTCTAACAGCAGCCGGTAAAAGTAGACACCGCGATCAACCTCCCTGAGCGCCTTTGCGTGCCATCTCTTGCCTGCCTCGGCCACCCTCCGCCCGACCTCGCGCCCCTCGTCCGTCGTGGCCAGGAACCTCACCAGCTCCGGCAGCTCCTCCAGCCCCAGGCTGACGGGGATGTAGTGCAGCCACGGTACGAGCCGCTCATCGTGCCACTCCTTGAATATCGTCGTCTTAAGCACGGCGCTATTGCTCGCGAGCAGCCGGTAGAAGCGCCCGCTCAAGCTGTTGCCGTCGATGTCGAAGACGTACTTGTACCGGTACGGCTCCGATGCCGGCTCCGGCTTTTTACGCGGGCGGAAGGCGTCGTTCTGCTCCCTGCACGCGGGCTCGTCACACGCCCGGATCTTGGTCATAGCGACGTGGTACAGCGACCTATCGAAGCGCGACGTTGTGTAGGGCATCCAACTGTCCCCGCCGCCCGCCTTGCGGAGGTAGGTGAACTTTTTCCCTTCGTCGGCGCCCAGGCCCAGGAGCACCAGCCTTTGCCGGTGGTGACGCCGCCATGTCTCGTCGTGCGTGTAACTCCCGGTATTGCTTCCCGCCCAGTACAGCGCGTCAGTCTTGCGTCGCCACGACCGGTCCCGCCACGCGCTGTAGGCGAACTGGGGCCACGAGTAGCTTGGCGCCGGGAACAAGATGTCGCCAAAGGGGCGCGGCACGGCCCGGGACAGGACGGGTACGGCATGGCCGATATGGAACGAGCTCACGGCCGAGGCGAGATAGCCGTGCGCCTCCCGGAACTCGGGGTGTGCACACAGGTCCGTCCCCCGCGTGACGTTGCGCACGAAGCGAGGCTCCTCCCCTGAATCCTCAGCCGCAAGGGCTCCGTCCACGGGCGCCTTTTCAGATGGCCCGCCGATCTTGGCGCACATATCCTGCACCTGGGGCCAGATGGGCTGGTGGGATATCTCGGACCACACGAACTTCTCGTCGCTGTCCGAGGGCGAGACTATGGGGTGCCGCGGCAGCACGGCGGGCTCGTCCATATAGTTGGCGAGGAAGGTCATGTTGGGAATGCCGCGCAGTGCCGCGCCTAGGTACCGACTCATGACGTCCGCCCAGGCGCCACAGTCCTTAAGCTTCCCCCCCGCAACAAAGCACTTCTTGATGGCGCCACGCGTCTGCCCTGGGGAGTCGCTGCGCTCCATCAGGCGCACCACGTCGGCCGGCGCCATCTTCCAGAACGGCTCGAGCGACCGCATCATCTCATCGTAGTCGTCAACGATAGGCGACGAATGCTCTCTGGCAAACGCAAACCACCTCTCGAACCCCGGCGGCGGCACTCGTCCATACCTCCTCCTGTACTCGACCACGGCACCCTCGGGGGTGGTGGACTGCCGTGCCAGGAGCGCGTCGAACTGCTTCTTGGCCGCGGCGTGCAGGTGCTCCACCGGGTGAGACTGGCTGCCATCCCTCAGTCGATAGACGAAGCCGCTCTGCACTGGGAACTTGTCTTCCCAGAAGCCAAATTGCAGGACCAGACAGACGATGCACAGCGCGAGGATCGTGAACGCAAGACTGCTCCTAGGCCTAGTCGGCAGCCAGCGGCATATTGGACTGAAGCTGCGAATCGCCGCGGCAACGCGCCGGTCGAGCGGGCGCCCATCACGCGGCATGTCGACTACTATGGGAGCACTGTTGGGTAGGTGTTGTTGAGTAGGTGCTGTTAGGTAGGCACTATTAGTGCTGATCGTAGTAGCTTGCGTTTGTGCTTTAACAACCGAAGATATAACCTAGTGTAAATTTAAAGGAAAAGCGTAAAAAGAAAGTAAGAACTAGAAATGGAAGGCGAGATTATTGGTAATTAAGGAGAGTGGCGTCATCATTTATTATTTACTGCGCCTTAATTGTGTCCCCCCTGACCTTGCCCCTGGCTGTTTGAACTGAAGCACAGATTCGCCCTCTGGGAGTGTCCTGACCGACCTGCAACATGTAGGGACTTGCAACAGCCGACTAATACATACAAATCCCCACCAAGGCATCCAAAACATAAGTCACTTTGTTGCGATCGCAACATCTCGGCCTTGGAGTAAGTATATTTGGATGTGTTGGATGTGTTGGTGTAACATCATGGTACTTCTTCGGGCTAATTATTTTGGTGAGAATTTAGGGACCAATTACAACGTTCCTGAAGTAGTTGCGGCTTTTAGCCCCGCGGTTAATGCTATCCCTGTAAGCCGGGAACTGCAGTAGCAACCTTCTCCGACTTCCTGCTTGCTATGGTTCCCTTATCCTAAAAGCCTCCTACGGTCGTCAATGAGATAGACTGTTCATGGATGACGTTGTAACCTTTGCCTCTACCTTGCATATCTAGCCTGTCGGGATCCTATAGTCCGAGTGTGATTGTGAAAATCTAAGTGCCTACTTCTTACAGGGGTCTTTAAATGTAATTTTATCGCCACCCCTCTGCTTTTATTTACACCTCTCTTAAACTTCATTCCTTTATAAAAGCGAGGATAGATACTTAAATATATGATAAATATATCGTTTCATTTAGTGAACATTGCAAAAATCTTTGTGTTATAGAAGATATTCAAAAGTAAAGGCTTGCGGATGAAATGGGCGGGATTATGAATTGACTGCAACTGACCCAGTGCTAGCGATATTCAAATACTTAACCGCTGGACTTTTGTACGGCACAGCTAAGACTTGCCTAATCCAGTAGGCACTAACAAGGCGGACCAGCAAGTTCATGGACATGCTCTTACTATAGCAATACACCGATGAGCCACCCCGACAACCGGACTACAGGTATTTAAAGAGGGGAGGGACCCGTTTGTGTTCCCTAGTGTCTTCACCACTACCACTTCTATCTCTTCACTATCTCCATTCCTGTCTCACTTTCAGGTACGAATACTGCGGCATAAAGTCATGCGACTACAGGGCACATGATGTCTCAGCCACTAATCACACGCTGTGATCAGTGAAACTAGCCTGTAAAGCCACCACCGCTAAAGTGCCCTGGAAGCACCTGTAGCTTAGTGGGTCCGTACCTAAATTATAGGCTACCTGCCCCCGTAAAAGCGAGGTTTATTAAGGCCATAGGCTGAAGCCCTGTAAGGAGTTTCAGGGATTGAAAGACAATTCTAGGGTATGCCCCTGCAAGTATAGGGGCTTGATCGCTAAAGGGCCCTATTAAGACCTCTAAGTTCCAGCGTCTGAGCGCTATAGTCACTGGGCCAACAGCGTGGCGCTATAGCCACAACCACTACAGGGCACATACGCTGAAGTCGCATGACTTTATGCCGCAATATTCGTATACAGCAACTATCCACAATCAATACAAACCTGTCAAAGTCGAGATGAAGCTTGTCGGTCTAATTCTCGTAGCTGCTGCCACAACACTCTCAGTTCAAGCTTGCAAATGCGTTGATCCTAACGGCGGTGCGGACAATGACGCCCAAACCGCGTTCTGTTGCGGACAGGAGAGTGGAACTTTCCAGTATCTTCATGCGAATACAGAAGATTATTAATTGAATAATAGTATATATTTAGTTTATATTTAAATCTTATTTATAGTACTGCTTCAAACATGTTATCAAGAGAGGTTCAACTTCCCCGGGTTATTAAAGATGCAATATAAGTTATTAAAGCTTGCTATAATAATCCCGAAGTCCCGCTATGTATGTGACTTCGGTTAGCAAATTATCTGACCTGTACATGTTGCATATATTATTAGATTGTCACGATTCCAGCCGATTAAATGAGTGGTATTACTACTATAGGCAACAGATACTAAGGGTTATACGGAGAATTTAATTAGGGCAAAAACAAGTATATTATTTACTATATAAAATGAAATATAAGGGGGATTAGGCCAGATATAAGGTCTATAAGTGAGACATCCCTATAGAAGCTTGGCCCACACGAACTTTCCTTATATATAAGGGCCGCATGGCACGATATTCTTATATCTAGTCTGTCACGGGCCAGACCTTTGTACAAAGAAGACTGGTGGTTCGATTAAGTGAATAGAATTCTCTAAGGAGAAAAGAAAGAGAAAAACGGGGAGAAGCGGAACCGTGTTCTCTGAAGTGTCCGAGCTCCCTGAGTGACGCGTGGTTGCTCCGTTAACCCAAGGAGGCGCGTCACATAACAAAGGCTCCGGCCTTTGTCATGTGACTTGGCGAAGGCTTCTAGCCTGTTGAACTAGCTAAAGCAAAGCTAGGGTCACGTGCTTGCAATGTAAACCAAGTAAAACGTACTGAATTGACTGCTGTTCTACAGTGGTGAGTAGCCCGTATATATAGCCCTGAACCCCCTAAGTCACATGTACTAAATCCCTATGCCAGCTGAACTGATTACAGCTATACAGGGTATTCCAGCCGTACATGGTATTCCAGCTATACAGGGTATTCCAGCCGTACAGGGTATTCCAGCTATACAGGGTATTCCAGCCGTACAGGGTATTCCAGCCGTACAGGGTATTCCAGCTATACAGGGTATTCCAGCTGGACAGGGTATTAAGCTAGTGCACAGCCCCATGGCGTTCGGTTCCAGGGCTTACTAAGCCTATTAGGGGCCTCAGGCCCCTAATTTCAACATAGCCGAGTATATAAATCGGGTCTCGACCTGTTACAAAATCTGCTATACCGATAACCCTCATGCAATACTCAAGCGCTAGGCTTTATCCTCCCACCCCATATCAGGAACCGCGGAAGTAACTATTGTAGTGGGGATTTTACTCCTATTGGTCACGTGGTTCTGTCATGTGACCTCCGGACGTCCGCAGTCCGCAACCCGCTTATATATTACTCCTCTTTCCTTCTCTGTTTTAGAAAACCAATCTTTACTCCTTAATTCCAGTTCTTATATATTATAATCCCATGCCATAAAAGCCTATTCTTATATATTATTACTTGTTTTATATTTCTATTATATTATATCTAATATTAGATAACTTTATTTAATTATAATTACTTATATTTCTTTATTCTCTTATAATCTAGTTTTCTTAATACTAGTATTTTATACTTAATTCTAGAATACTTAATAAAAGCTTTAATAATATAATTAATTTATTATAGCTATATATATAAATAATAGCCTTTTTTATTATAAATTTGCCTAGATTAAAATATATAATATTTAAACTAAATATTATTTGAATTCTAACTTATAATAAAAAAAAGCCTAATTATAAGTTATAAGAACTAGTATTAACTAGATATGTATATAATAAAGTTAAATAGAAAATAAGGTAAAAGAAATTAAAAAATAAATTAATATATATTTTATAAAAATAAATAAAAAAAATAACTAAATAGCCTAAAAGCAAGAAATATATATTAAAGAAATTGAAATTAGAAAAAGAAAGGCCATTTTTTATAAGAATAAGTTAATATATATTTCAAAATAAAGAATAAAGATATTTAGTAATAGCCTAAAGGCTTTTATAAGTATTAAAGAAAAGAAAAAGATATTAAAGAAAAAAAAGAGATATTAATAAAAAAGAGAAGGAATTTAAATAAGAATTAGCCTCTTTTTTAGAAGTTTAAAAGAAAGTATTTCTAAAGAGCTTGAAAGTATAAGAGATATTAGAAAAGGGAAAAAAGTATTAAAGTTTAAAGAAATATAAATAAAACTTAGTATAATAATACTGGCTAGAATTAAAAGAAAATAGCTATTATATAACTAATTTCATCTAACTAGCCGGCGTTTTAGTAGTTTTAGCTAGTATTTCTTCCTTTTTATCTTCTCCTTTTCTCTCTCTCTCTCTTTCCTTTCTTTAGCTTAGTATTTTCAATATATAAGATTCTTAGATTTTCAAGTTCTGGCTATTACCTCGATTCTGCTATTATATTTAGCTTCTTTTTTAGAAGTTTAAAAGAAAGTATTTTTAAAGGGCCTAAAGATATAAGAGATATTAGAAAAAGAAAAAAGGTATTATAGTTTAAAGGAATTTAAATAGAAGTTAGCCTCTTTTTTAAAAGTTTAAGAAAAGGTATTTCTAAAGAGCTTAAAAATATAAAAGATATTAGAAAAGAAAAAAAGAGATATTAGAAAAAGAAAAAAGAAATCTAAAATTTAGTTTTCTAAAAAAAGAAAAGTAAATTAAAAATATATAATATAAAAGTTTTAAATAAAAGTAACTTAAAAGTAGTAATTAGATATTAGCTATTAGTTTTATTAATAAAAAAGTTAAAAAGAAAAAGTTTAAAGAAAAAAGAAAAGATTATAAAATAATTAAATATTAACTCTTAGTATTAATAAAGATATTAATAAAGAATAAAAGCTTTTAATATTAATAATAAAATTAAAAGAATATAAAAGAAAATAAAGATTTTAAAAATAAAATAAAGGTATTAATATAAGATAATTATATTATTATATAATTCTATATTTATTTTTATTATTTAGAATTCTTAAGCCTTTCTAATTTAATAATTATATATATTAGAATAAAAGAATTCTTTTTATTTAATAAATATAATTATAATATTACTAAATATAAAAATATAAAAGTTTATATAATAAGTTATATATAAAAATTTAAAAAGATTTAAATTATTTCGAATTATTTATAACTAGTAAAATAAATTAATTAAGTATATAAATCGAGTATAATTTAATTATTATTAATATATCTTGGCTTTTATAAATTAGTAAAATAAAGAATGATTTGTTTTTGTTTTTATAATTATAATATCTAAAATTATAATTTCCTAATATTTAAATATATTTAATCTAGGGCTATTAAATACTAATATTTTTATTTTAAGATATTATTAGTATATTAAAGAATTCTTAAAGTTATTTAAATTATTTATAAATATTTATAAATTATTTAAATAAAATATAAGTAATAAGTAACTTAAAAAACTTGAATGAAA